GGAGCGAGTCAGGAAATATTTTCCTTTACCAGCATCACGTCGTGACCTGGCCACTATCCTGCAAGAAGAATGGCTTAAAATCCCTCTGACCACTGTGCAGGACTTTTATATGTCATTCCCAAGACGAATTGACGCTGTATTGGCCGCAAAAGGAGACCCTACACCATACTAATAAATTATTGGGGTCTAAAACCAGGTGTTTCAGTTTCATTGTCCAACCCCTGTATATTTACTGTCTGAACATGAAAACACTTCAGTACAACTCATGTCAAAATGCTACAATCCTACCAAATCTGCCCAGAGTTGTTTCTCCATAAACAGCTCTGACCCACAGTGATGTCAGATCCAGTGAGGGTCATGTGACCCATCATCACATAGTGGTACTAACATGTTTGCAGATGGATTCATAACCACGTAGAATACTCCTCTGTTTACATTTAGAAGACAAACTAGGATCAGTGACACACACACACATATGCTAAGATTACCTGAAATAATGACATTTATTCTGGTTGATTTTGAATTCTTACCTTTAATGCTTATTAGGTTGTTGGCTGAAACATTGAACATCTGAACACTGAACTTTTACTCCGGTGAACTACAATCTAATCCAGTGGCCTCCAACCCTGGTCCTCAAGATCTACTGTCCTACAGATTTTAGATGCATCCCTGCTTCAACACAGCTGAATCAAATTAATGGCTTGAAAAGGTAATTATTCATTTGATTCAGCTGTCTTGAAGCAGGGATGCATCTAAAATCTGTAGGACAGTAGATCTTGAGGACCAGGGTTGGAGACCACTGAATCTAATCTATTGTGATTACTGATCCGTTCATGGTTGAATGAAATCTGGCCAATAACTGTTGGGGAGGATGGAACAATGCTGATGTCCATCTGTCCCCTGTTAGTCCAGTTCTCACATTCATCTAACCTGACAGGGTCGGCAGGCCCATGAGATTTCTGGACTCATCTTTAAGCAGAGCAACTTGTGAAAAAGCTCTTTCTTTGATATAGGGAGGGGGAGGAGTTTAATTGCACCAAGCAATGAATCCCTAAAGCAGTTGTTTCCTCTAGCATCTTTAAAAAATTCCTCTTCCAACCAGAACGCATCAATCATCAGGTTTATCACACCAGATCCACCTGCTGCTAAAACTAGCATCATCTGTGGCTCCACAGCACTAGTTCTGGCAGATGACATCAGCTAATCAGTTATGGAGAAAGGTCAGGGAGGCTTTGCTATGAACCAGTAATGATGATGATTGGTGGACATGTGTTTTAATTGGTCAACTGAAAAACCGCTAATCTGACTCCAGACCACCCCAGAATATATTCACCTGGCCAAAGCTATTTTTACCTGCAGAATCAAAATGAAAACCACCTAATCTGGCAACACTGAGCGGAGATACCAAAGGAACTCAGGGGAACATATTCAAATGTACTTGTGTGACAGAGAAAAGTAGTAAAATGTTAGCCTAAGTAACGCGCCCTGGAGGGCTTTATATAAGAACACGGCTAAACACACAAAGACACCACAACAAAACAAACTAAAGCATTTAAGAGGTTTTAGAGAGGTAGTCTGTGCAGCACAGGAATTCTGTGCTAACGATAAGATCCCAGGGTATTTTCTAAAAAGCCTTTCCTGGAGCTGATCCCTGATTATCTGTCTACCTGCCACTTCTTTTCCCTTTCTAGGCAGAGCAGCAGCAGTATTATGAAGTCTCCCGGAACCCAGGAGAGGCTACGCTGTTGTCCAAACCAGCAAAGGAGCCCTACTTGGTGGAACAGATTTACTCACCATGCCCCTTCACCCTCACATCGAAGGCTCACACAAAGGATGGCTCCCTCTACACCGACCTGAAGCCTAGTCGGTCGTCACACAGCAAGAGCAGCCATCCAGCCCGGATCATCCAGGAATATAGATGTCATCCTGGAGAAAAGAGGAAACCAATTTTCAACCCACAGGTACTCAGTTCTCTCTAGGTTAATTCTATTCTTTTCAGTTTATTTCTATAGCTCCAGTTTACATCATTAGACTTAGACTTAGACTTCTTTATTTGTCATTTTGTATGCACAGGGTGCATACAGAACGAAATTGCGTTACATACAGCTTATGAACGTTGCATTGATATTTCAAATGGCACGAGTTATACAAAAAGTGCAG